CAAGTACCGAGGGGTAGGCGTAAAACACAATCTCTTGCTCAATTACAAGCTACTAGGATTGAAGGTAGCCAGGGCACCTCTACGAGCCATGTTTGTGATAGTAAAGTAAGCTGTCCTCATCATGGCCTTGGAGTGGAAGGAGAAAACCATTGGGTGGCTGATGTGTTTAGAACTTCTACCCCTGAGGATATTGTATCTGTTGGAAACTCATTGAAGCAGCTACAGTTTGTTGATAAGCGGTCTATTGCGGTTTGGCTTACAACTGTGGTTCGGCAACTTGTTGAAGAGTCCGAAAATAGCAATGTGAGAGTTGGGCAGTTCAACAAAGCTGCTCCACTTGAAGAGAGTAGGACAACTAGGTGGAAGCTTGGGGCAGACGAGCTATCTGCCATATTATTTCTCATGGATCTCTCTCTGGATTTGGTTTTAGTGGTTAAATTTCTTATCTGGTTATTGCCAAAGGGCAACAGTAGCCCAAATTTTGCAAGTCAAGGTGGAAGAAGCCTTCTAATTGTGCCAAGGGATGTTGAAAACAACACGTGTGAAGTAGGGGAAGCTATTCTAGTATCATCACTTAGGAGGTGTGTTTTACTTCCCGTTCTATAGATGACATTAATCATCTTTATTTTTTGACGATATATTTCTAAAATACTCTATTTACTTCCCGTTCTATAAATGTCAGTAATCATCTTTATTTTGATGATATATTTCTAAATACTTTCTTGGTGCATGTGTGCGATCATTATTTTCAGGTATGAAAATATTCTACTTTCAGCAGATCTCGTCCCTGAGACCATGACAGCTTTGATGGCACGTGCTGCATCACTTGTGACTAGTAATGCAAAGATTTCTGGATCAGCAGCCTTAGTTTATGCTCGCTATATTTTGAAAAGATATGGAAGCCTTCCCAGTGTGGTGGAATGGCATGGCAATTTCAAAGCAACATGTGAAAAGAGGCTTCTTTCTGAACTTGATCATACGCGACCAGGAAACGGTGAGTATGGAAACCCCTTTGGGGTTCCACCAGGAGTAGATCAAGATGACTATTTACGTAAAAAAATCACTCGTCCCTCAAGAGTGGGCTTGACTATGAGAGAAGGTGTGCAACGAAAAGTTGAAGAGGCAACTCAGTATATCAGAAAACTCATGGGTACTGGTACCATGAAAGCCTCACCTGCTGAGAAGAATGATTACGGGTATCAGGTGGCCCAACAAATTGTAGTTGGCCTAATGGACTGCATTAGACAGACTGGCGGTGCAGCTCAAGAGGGTGATCCCTCTTTGGTTTCTTCTGCGGTTTCTGCAATAATAAACAGTATAGGGATTTCCATGGCAAAGAATTCAGATCTCTCTGTTCATCAGATCCATCCATCTGGCGTAGGCTCATCTAATATCGCACGATATGTTTTGCAAATCCATATAACCTGTCTGTGCCTTCTTAAGGAAGCTCTTGGAGAGCGACAAAGCCGAGTGTTTGAAATAGCGCTTGCAACAGAAAGTTCCACTGCTCTTTCTGGAGCTTTCGCCCCTGGGAAGGTATCCCGAAGTCAGCATCAGCCATCTCCTGAATCCTATGAATCAAATGCGAACATTACCACAAATGATATGCCGAATGGTACTGGAAAGATACCGCTGAGCAGAGCAACAAAAGTCAGTGCAGCTGTATCTGCACTTGTTATAGGTGCTATCACACATGGCGTTATAACCCTTGAGAGGATCGTTGGTTTGCTGAGACTAAGGGAGTACTTAGATTTTGTTCAGTTTGTAAGGCGTGCAAAATCGAGTTCTAATGGCAGTGCTAGGTCTGTGGGAGCCTCTAAAATGGATAACCCTGTTGAAGTTTATGTACATTGGTTCAGACTTCTTGTTGGTAATTGCAAAACTGTTTCGGAAGGGCTTGTTTTGGAGCTTGTGGGAGAATCTTCCGTGGTGGCTGTATCGCGTATGCAGCGCATGCTTCCGCTGAATTTGGTCTTCCCACCAGCATATTCTATTCTTGCTTTTGTACTGTGGAGGCCTTTTGTTTCGAATGGTAATAACTCCAGCGTCCATGATGACACTCACCGCCTTTATCAGTCTTTAACAATGGCCTTTCATGATGTGATCAGACACCTACCCTTCCGAGATGTGTGTTTGAGAGACACCCAGGGACTTTATGAACTGATAGTTGCTGATTCCACAGACGCTGAGTTTGCATCGGTACTTGAGTTGAGTGGTTTGGATATGCACCTGAAAACTGTGGCCTTTGCTCCTCTTCGTGCACGTCTTTTCCTAAATTCATTAATTGATTGTAAGGTGCCAACCTGTGGTTACTCCCACGAAGGAGTTAATGAAGCAAAAAACCGGCAGCAGGGAAATGGAACAAGTCTTGTGGACAAGCTCGTATCTGTATTAGATTGCTTGCAACCTGCAAAGTTTCACTGGCAGTGGGTTGAACTCAGGCTGCTTCTAAACGAACAAGCACTAACTGAGAAACTTGAAAATCATGATATGCCTTTGACAGATGCCATACGATCTTCCTGTCCTACCTCTGAGAAGTCTGAAGCCTCTGAGAATGAGAAAAATTTCATTGAAATCCTTCTCACAAGGTTGTTAGTTAGACCTGATGCGGTTCCACTTTTCTCGGAAGTGGTTCATCTCTTCGGTAGATCGGTTGAGGAGTCAATGCTGAAGCAAGCTGAATGGTTTCTAGCAGGTCACGAGGTTCTTATTGGAAGAAAAACAATCAGACAAAAGCTAATAATAGTAGGCGAAAGCAAAGGACTTCCCACGAAACCTCAGTTTTGGAAACCTTGGGGTTGGTGCAATAAATCCAGTTCTGATCCTATCACTGGAAACAAGGCAGCAGGGAAGAAAAGGAAGTTGGAAGTTACTTCCATGGAAGAAGGAGAAGTGATCGAAGAAGGGTTGGGTTCAAAAAAGTTATTATTAGATGAGAATCGTCTCAGTGTTGGCTATGGGGTTACAACTGAGAGGGCTTTTGTTAAGCTAGTGCTTTCATGCATAGATCAAAGCTCTTATGACTCTAGAAGTACCTTTGTGAATGAGTTGGCAAGGCAGTTTAGCAATATTGAGCAGCAGTTAAGTTCTGTAACCAGCCGCAACATAACAAACACTAAACACATGGGAACTGCTTCATCTGGGTCTGAGGTTTCATCAAGTAAAGGAAGTACTCGGAAGGGCCTTCGTGGTGGTAGCCCTAGTTTAGCAAGAAGAACCGCAACAAACACTACTGACACTTTGCCACCACCTTCCCCTGCTGCTTGGCGATCTTCTATGTCTTTGCGGTTGCATTTTCTGCTAAGATTACTGCCTGTCATCTGCAGGTACTCAATAATTTGTTTTCTCATTCAGTTTAACCAAGTTTTTGTTGTAAAAGTCATATGGAATCAAAGGCTGAGTTATGTTTTTGTGTGGAAATCGTTTTTTTCAGGGAACCGTCGTTTAGGAACACGAGACACACACTTGCGTCTACTATAGTTCGTCTGCTTGGAAGCAGGGTAGTTTATGAAGATTCTGCTGTGTGTTCTCCTCGTAATGACTTATCAAAGTCGGAGATAGAATCAACAACAGATCCATCTTCCATGGCGGATCTTTCTAGTGAAATCTTATTTGACCGTTTACTGTTTGTACTCCATGGGCTGTTAAGCAATCACCAGCCGAATTGGCTAAAGCCAAGGTCTTCCTCTAATGAATCATCCAAAGACTTTACCTTGTTTGATCGTGATGCAGCAGAGAGCCTACAGGTTTGTCAACAAAATTATACAATCCTGAAGTCTTGTCTTGTCTTCTTAGACTGAAAATAATGATTTTGAAGTTACTGTTCTTTTTTTTTTGTTTTGGTGTCAAATAATGCAGAGTGAGCTTGCGCGGATGCAGTTACCTGACACTATTAGATGGCGGATTCAAGCAGCGATGCCAACCCTCCTTCCTTCTCTGCGCTGGTCTCTCTCGTGTCAGCCACATTCTGTTCCGCAAACGGCACTCACACTTGTTCAACCAGCGGGATCTGCTGCTGCTGGGCTCAATCAGAGAAATTCCCCTGCCATACCAAAAACCGGAACAGCGGCAGCGCAAGGGAAGTTGAAGCAGACGATGTTGTCACAGTCTCAGCAGCAAGAAGCAGAAAACATGGATGTGGTTGACCCATGGACGCTTTTGGAAGACGGGACGAGCTCAGGTCCATCAAGCAGCAATCCTTCAAACAGCATTGACATGAGCAATGTTCGAGCCACGTGTTGGCTAAAAGGTGCAGTGAGGGTCAGACGTACTGATCTGACATACATTGGTTCAGTGGATGAAGACAGTTGAGAATGAGTATATTGTTTCTTTTTGATGATCATGAGAGAAAGAGAGAGCTCTAGAAAGTGACAAAGCAAAGAAGCTTTTGGATCTTTTGTGCCTTAAAGACTGTATCTCATTTATTGAAGACAGAAGCAGGCAAGTCCATCTATTGAGAGAGATCACTATGAGTCTGTCTGTGTGGCTTCTTTGTATTTTAACTACTACTAACCCTTTTTTTGCTTACACAACCCGGACCCATGTTGGTTCGGAACCCTGTTGTATATATAGGGGATTCATTCGATAGTTAGTTGTCTCAACTTTCTTGTTCTATCATTAAGTATTATTTGTCCTCTAAATATTATCATATGATTATTCCCCCCTTGGAACGGTTTTATATATAGATTCCTTCTTCAAATCACTTTTCTCTCTTCTTACATGAGTTGGATGGGTAAACTTTGCCAACTATTCTTTCAGACTGGGAAACTAGATAACTTTTTTTTTAAATAGGTTTTTACATTAATCTAATTTACTCAAGATGAGAACACTAGGACAAGATTCATAGAAAATCTTTTTCAAAAGTAAAAAGTAGAAATCTACAACAACTTATTCACTACCACTCATGGTTTCGTCAACATGAAGAACATCATCAATCCAAGCAACTATGTTAAAAGCTAAACTTTCAAGAACTCTTGAATAGCTCTCCAACACAGCTTTTCCTACATCCTGCAAACCAATAAAAGAAACAAAAAGACAACAATTTAGTCTCAAAAAAAGAAAGAGAACTACTGCTTATTTATTTCTTCAGTTTTGTTTTACCTTATTGTACTGAATCTTGCATATATCTAATGATGTCTGAGACAACTCTGGATAACGCTGTTTCAAACAGAAGAGAAGAGTCTCTGCTCTCTCTGCCATAACATAGTTCTTGTCTGTTCTCTCTGTGGTTGACATAAGATCTTTCACCATGTTCCATGAGTTCTTAGAGTTATTTAGACAAGCTTTGCGTCTCCATGTGTACATTGAAGCCTCTACTCTATCTGCTAACTGCACAGCTTCATGCTCAGATGCTATGTTCAGAGAATCTAAGATTTTCTCTGGGAAAAACCGACCCGAACCACTCATGAAACGGTAGATTGAATCACCAACACTGTTTTTACCACTCTACAGAATAAAAAAAACATCACCAAATGGTTAAATTAAACAAAACTCAGAATAAGAATTCTTTTAACATTCTAGTAATAAGAAGAATGAAACAAAAAAAACCTTTGGAAGAGTTGCCATGTAAGACTCTGGAATCTCCATTTCACTGAGGATGCTACTGTTGATAGCCATTGCAGCTTTGTGTATCTGATTAGTACTCTCTCTCTTGCTCTTGAGTTGTTTTCTTGCTTTATCTGACAAACCTTCTGGAGGAACCAGAGGAACTGGTAACCACCATTTCTCTTCTTTCCTCTGTACTATAACTTTCCTGAATGATCCATTGGCAGATTTCATGGACTGACTTCCTTCTTCTGCATACCAAAACTCTGTGTTCTGAAAACCATCCAACACTTCCTGTAAAAAAACAAACAAAGATCATCATCAGAAGAAGATCTTTTTTTATTCATAATCATTTGAATTAATCATTGGATAATTAGATGGTACCATAAGCATGGAATCTAGCTTTCTCAATGCAGGTAAGTTGATATAGATATCTCCTCTTGGTCTACTCTCCATCACCTGATACAATAAGAAACATTTCATTTTATTTTTGTTTTCCCCCTATTTTTCAGACAAAATAAGTGTGAGAAGTTATGTTACCTCAACAGTAGTTCCATTGCTTAGACTCTGACATCTAGGGATGAACTCAACTATGTAATCACATACTGATAAAAGACAATTCATTTCTCTCTTCCACATTGCTCTCTTCTCTGTTTCTAACGGCTCTAACCTCAGATTCTGTCCAAACACTGTAGCTGCAAGCAAACATAAATTAAAAAAAAAAATATTAATAAAGCAGAAGATAAAAGGAATAATTTAGATTTGGTCTGAGACAAAAACATAGTATAGGCTGTGTGACTGACTGAGTCTTTAGTTACCATAAAGATTGGTAATAGCGTTAGAGATGGTCACAGCAGTGCAAACTCCTTTACCACTTCCTGACATATCTTCTCCAAGTAGAAGCTTTGCGAATCTTTCCTTCATTGGCTCAACTTCTGTACAAACCTAGAACACATTTTTATTATTTTATTTTAAATTAAAAAGAGTAGAGACATACAGAGAGTAAGAGAGAGATAGAACACATCACCTGGTTCTGAGATTTCTTGAGCTTCAAGAATTTCATTTGTTTGCAGCTCTAAATCAGTAGCGAGACATTTTGAGCTCTTAGATTCAGTCAGGACAGGCCAATCACAAGGTTCACTACAGGAGCTGTTGATTTCATCTATTTGGTCTGAAGAGCTTGAAGTGCTCTGTGAACAAGTTCGAGGATAAACAAAAGAATCCATGCTCATCGTCAAGGAAACATGAGTTTCTGATGTTGATTGATCATTTGGGTCAATGGATAATTGATGATGATAAACTCTATCTTCGTTCTCCATCTTCTTTTCTAGCTGCAAAAAACTTCTCCAAGTACTATCTCTTTTGTGTTCTTGATCTGTTTCTTTTGTGAAGAAGTAACACAATAAACTTAGTTATAGCTTTAAGCTTTTGATGCGTTTGTCAAGAGACTTTAAATTTAAAACCAGGAATTTGTTTATCGATAGTGAAATTTCTAGGACCAAAGAACTATAAAGTCAGTAATATATTTTAAGAAAAGAAGCAAAAAAGTAGATATATAAATAAGAACGCATGCAATTGTATCTTTGAGTTTTGCTGAATAATGTAAAATTCAAATAAAAGAACGTTAAAGTAAAATGAAAGCAACGGTCTTTATATATTGATTTACCTTTAAAGCTTCTGCTACGATTTGAAGTTTTGAACCGTTTAAAGCAAAATTTAAACGTAAGTTTGAAAGAAAAAATAATCCAACTCCCTCCTGTTGTATCAGAAACCCTCTTATCTCTTGTGGAACTTCCGATGAAATTAAGAACGATTGATTTAAACGATGATAAGTTGGTGGCTTCAACAAGTGTTTTGGTTCTTATGAGAGAAGTAAAATACCCTTGTGGAGCTGTCTTAAACTATTTGTCTATATGTGCTTCGTCTATAATACTTTTTGGCTTTCTTGTTTGGCTCAAATATGGAGTTATTATCTTCAAACAGGAAACAAATCTTTGATTATTGGATCCTTTGACTAATGATTGCACATTTACCTATGCTTTCTTTTATTTTATTTTTATTGTCAAACTATACCATATCAAATGATTTTCTTGCTTTACGAATTTAGAAATCTCCAATGTAAATTTAGATTTTTTTTTTTGTTAGAACTGAAAGTCCTGGGGTTATTTAAGAATTAAAAAATATCATGATCAATTTGTTGAAATTTGATTTTGTTAAATGATTTTTGAGTTTTTTGTGAATGTTCAACGTATATGATATTATTGCATGTCTGCGCTACGCGCAGGATATGACTTAATTGTTATTAAATTATAAGTTTTTTTGGTTATGTATTAGATTTTCGTTTGGAATTGATGTGAACGATAAGGATGTATTCTTTTTAGAACTATTTTGTGAGAAGAGGTGAATTGAAGGAGTTAGATACGATACAACTGATTTTGTATGCTTCTGAAGCTGATTTATAGTATATACCAGTGATTTGATTTGTGAGAGCAGCTTGAACTGAGGAAGAATTGTTTGGCTAACATATTTCAAAATCTTTATGAGCTTTAAAAGGTGTTTGTAACATTGGTTGAGTTGCTCGTTTTTTTTGATAATGTATAGGCTTACATGAATTATTAATTTGGTTTTAAATAATTGTGATAGCTTACAAATATTTGGATTTTGGGTAAGACAGAAGGGTGATGACTTTCAATCTAATATTAAAATTTTTTTGAATTTGTTAATATATATTTGCTGGTTAAGCTAATATAAGATTGTATAATTTGGTTAGTTTGTGTGCAGAAATCGTAGTTATGTCTCCAGATTTTAGATTTTTTGTTATTTCCTCTTAAATAGAGAAGAAAGAAGTTTGTATTACTGGTTAACTTGATGTGGATTTTATTGTTCGATACCAATCTTCATAGAAATCAAGATCTATATAATAATTTAATTGAAGATAAATAATTAACCATATATGAACGTAGAAAATAATATAAGAACATGATTAGTGGGAGTTCTTATGGTGGAGTTCTTAGCGGAATATAAGAATCGTCTTTTAACTTTTAACTAAAAAATTAAGAAACAACTCTTAAATTCAATGCTAAATTGCTTGTGCACTATCATATGAACACCATGCCATGAATATTTGCCTAAACTAATTGATTTAATGCATGATTTAACCTACACTAATGGGCATAATTCAACTACTAAAATTTGTTTAATAAGACTGTTATAAACTACCAAAATGACTATGTAATATTTTATTCTGGGTGGTGTAGATATTTTGATCTTTTTTATTTTAGTATATGTGTTTTATATATGCATTTATATCTATTTCATTGGTCATGTTTTTTTTGTATTGTATTCTTAGTGCTGTGAAATATACACTTCTTGCTTTCTTATTAATGTTGAACTTATGTTTAAATTGCTTTTGGAATTTATGAGTTAACTATTAAAAATAACAGTTTATATCTACTTGAAGAAAGTAATTTGATATTTTGTTTATATCATGAAAATTTTTTTTTATATATTTTTTATTTTATTTATTATATCTCTTTATATATTTCCCATTATCCTTTTTAAAATTTATATTTTGACTATTTATTAATTCTTTGTTGTGGTCCTTGTCAATATTTTGTTAGTTTTCTTTCCATTAAACTGAAATATCAGAAGAAGAAAAACATTCAATACATTCTTTTAGAAAAAAAAATTGTTCTTGCTTTTTAAGTTCTAATTTTTTTAAATACAAATTGATATCTAATAATTCGGTATGTTTGATCCTTCCACGTTTAACTTGCATCAAAATATCGCAAAATATTTTATCATTATTTTTTGTAATTTTTTTAAAAAATGTTTTTTTGAGAACTTGAGCCTCATATTTTTTGGATTTTTTGGGTACGTAGGAATGCTAACGAACTTTTAAATGGTCTATAGTCTATAATGAAGTTAATTTTCATAATTCCTCAAAAATATTTTTCTCAGACGTCATACTATTTTATGACTAACATAAACCATACGTAATTCTCGTCTAGATAACATATCTGGAAAGACATGATTATTTTAATGAGAGTTAACAAACTATAATCTATCTCAGCCGACTTCCACATTAATTCATAAACTATTTGTCTATATATGTGCTTCGTGTATAATACTTTTTGGCTTTCTTGTTAGCTCAAATATGGAGTTATTATCTTCAAACAGGAAACAAATCTTAGATTATTGGATCATTTGACTAATGATTGCACATTTACCTAATTTTATTTTTATTTTCAAACTATACCATATCAGATGATTTTCTTGCTTTACAAATTTAGAAATCTCCAATGTAAATTTAGCATTTTTTTGTTATAACTGAAAGTCCTGGGATCATTTAAGAATTAAAAAATATCATAATTATTTTAATGAGAGTTACGAAACTATAATCTATCTCAGCCACCTTCTACATTAAACATAAGATTTTAATTTCGACTTCTTCTAGCTTTGCAATCTTCAGCTTCATATTCACATCATTGTGATTGTAATAATCCCTGATGATCTTGATTCGAAGTAGCTATTCTATGGGTTATGTCAGCTACTCACAGTGGTATCGTCCTGTTTGTAGTTATTCCAGATTTGTGTACAGTCGAGTTTACGCGAGCGAGTCTACGGTACAATTTCCTTATCTAATATTCGCTTGCATAATTTATTTTGTCATCATTATCTTGGGACAAAGACGTTTTGATAACTCAAAATATTAGAAGTATATTTTCTAGGAATCCGAGAGAAAATAATAAACGAAATTTTTTTTAAAAAAAACTTACTAGTAATTTTCTATGGCTTTATTTATATATATTATTTTTGGAGAAAAAGACCACAGTAAATAAGCAGAAAAAAGTGAGTCATTGAATAAATATAATAAGTGACATGAACCAACATATAAGTGATAATAGATACATGTCATGTTGAAAATAGATGAATTAGTGACATGCCACTTTAAAATGAGAAAAAACTAATTTTATATAATAAGATATATCACTGTTGACCATTATAACCATTCTTTAATTAAGAATTATTAATCTCTGGTCGGTCTTGCAACGCTTCCACTGGAAATTTCATTTTATCTTTGTGTCAATCGTTTTTTTTTTAAATTAGACCAACTATCCACATGGCTGGAGTTTAGCATGTAGGCCACACGATCGACTGCAAGTCTGCAACTCATTATAGGTGACTAGTTTTATCAATTTGAATTATGTTCTTATAATTTAGCACATGATAACCTTTTATTTTGTACGAATGTTAAGATTAGCACATGATAACCTAATGTAATGGAGTAGACTATATATATTGCATGGTTCGTGCGTAAGACAGAGACGTGCGTTCCATTTTCTCGTTGTAACAAAGCCCAATCTTATGCATATATTTAATTCCTGGGTTAGTATTTTAATATATATACCAATGGACAATCGTTTATAATATTCACTACGTTCAACATGTACCTGCTGCTATAGTTTATTTGTTGTCATTTATTCAACATATCTAACATATTCAGGAAAAATAAGTTTATACATTAAATCTAATGACGAGAATGATTACATATAAGTAACACAAACTTTAGATTATTAATAAAAATCTCTGTTTTTATATAAAACTGATATTCAGTAGCAAAGTACTTTATGAACTAACGTAACTAAAAATAAAAATTTTATGAACTAACGTAACTAAAAATAAAAAGATTTATTATTGGGTTCACCCCCCTAGGATGAACCTCTAGGTTCACCATACAATAGGATTACATTATTTCATATTTGATATATTTTTAAAAAGGAAACAAAATCTTATTAAGTTATATTATGTTTTTAAAAATAAAAATACAAAATAAAAATAATAATAATTAATAAAAACGAAACTAATTCTTTAAAAAAATAATATTTTAACACTAAATTCTAAACTCTAATCCTAAACCCTAAACCCCTAGGTAAATCATAAACCTTTGGATAAATCTATAAAAATTTAGAGTTTATGATTTACCCAAGGGTTTAGGGTTTAGGATTAGAGTTTAGGGTTTAGTGTTTATGATTTACCCAAGGGTTTAGGGTTTAGGATTAGAGTTTAGGGTTTAGTGTTTAAGTGAAAAGAATTATTTTTAAAGATTTTTTTATAAAATTTATCCAAAGGTTTATGATTTACCTAGGGGTTTAGGGTTTAAGATTAGAGTTTAGGGTTTAGTGTTAAAATATTTTTTTTAAAGAATTTTTTTTCATTTTTATTTATTTTTATATTATTATTATAAAAATATAATACATCTTAACAAGATTTTGTTTCTTTTTCTTAAAGATATCAAATATGAAATGATGCAATCCTATTGGATGGTGAATCTAGAGATTCACCCTAGGGTTTAGAATAACTCAAATAAAAATAGGTAGAAAAGAAATAACAAATAAAATATCTTATAATTTAATTAATCCCCAAAATATATATGTGAAGCTAAGTTTAGATTGGTTGAGAAATTAATTGGAAGTAAGAAAAATGTTACATCGAAAGATATAAATGCATGGCATTTATTACATTAGAGATTGAAGGTGAAAAATAAAAGTCATCAATAGTTGCTTATTCTTGCCCATCACGATACCGTGAAACGGTTGATCGAGAAACCCTAGCTACGAATAGAAAATTTGTTATAGACGACCAAACAATAAAGAAGTTCTGCATTGATGAGACCTTGCATTCTTGCCCATGCAGCTGTGAACCTATAATGTTTGCACAAACTCAGAAATCAAACAAATGTCTCATCGCTAGTAACTGACAACTAATCCAAATAGGGTTATGCAATACTTCATAAAAAGTTTCATTGTAATATTAAAAAAAAATGATTGAAATGTATTTATATTGGTAATAATTACATCTATTTAACAACTAAAACTAATATTTGAGATAAATAAAATTATTTATAAGTTTAATATAGTTTTCATTTAATATTAAATTTAAAGTATGTATAAATTATACTGAAATTCTTAAATAACATTTTTGTGTAATAAGAAAATGTCAAAATAACACTCTGTATGAAAGAGAAGGGAGTACTAACTAAGCGTTATGTGAACAATCAAAATAATGAAAAAAAAACAATTGAAGTAAATAGTTTTGATGCTAAACCTTTGATCATTTTAGTTGATATTTGGTTGTTTTCCGGAAGCAATAGATGAGAAACCTTAACAAAGGGAGTTTCATCAGATTCAGAGCTGGAGAAATCATTGGCTCTTCACGGCTTTTACCCTCTATCTTCACTTCCCATGCCTTCTTGATATGCAATTTATCCTACAAAAGTAAAAAAAATAAAAAGATCTTATGTTATTTCTGTTCTAAAGAACTCAAAATTGTCTTGGATAATTACTGATTTACCGTCGCAGTGAATCTGAATCCGAGTTTTAGTACACCTTTAAATGTGTCATCGTCAAGAACAACATTGTATGGAGCTGGTTTAACTTCTACGTATCCTCTGTCACGTCCTTCGGTTATTATCCCTCCAAGATGAATTCTGTTACCAAATCACAGTCACATATGGATGGTATTATGTCTTTAATATTACTAGGCTAAACCAAACTCATTTCTCAAAACAAAACTTACATTGTTTCACCGACAAATCCACCATCTTTGAAGAGCTCTTTGTCCATGATTCTAACCTTGAAGTGGGTCAGCTTCTTCCATTGAGACATTGGGAAATCGAACACAAACTTTTGGTTCCACAATGCGCTGTCGTCATCACCTGCTTTCACAACACAAATATATCTTTTGTAATATGCTTGGTTCAGAAGAGCAACAAAAAAAAACTATATCACTAACAAAACCTTTTGACATTTTGCTTCGGTATTCCTTTGTCCCACATTGCAACAACACATAATACACAGGACTTCCTGCAACCAAATAAATACTCGAAATAAGAGCTATTAACTAGTTTGATATACAAACATATGAAAAACGTTTTTATCTTTTTTTAGGGTCACCAATAAAATTTGTGTGTGTGATTCCATGAGCATCAACGAGAAGTACTTCCAGTTTTCCTCTCTTCTTAGGTGCCATTAATTTTCAGATTTAACCAAGAAATTAAATCAACTCTAAAGGCTTAAAGGAACTGGGATAATGCAAGTGAAAACAGTAACTTTTATATTGCTCCACAACATTTACTTCTTTGCAGGCTTTACATATGAGTTACAAAGGAGCACCACAATAAACAGTTTGGAATAAATAACATAGTAAGTTACATTCTCCGGCTAGTAATATTTCAATCCGTTTGCTTATGACTCAGCAAGAAACTGAAGCGTTACATAATCAAAAAGACCAACCAAATAATCCAAACAATTGATATGAAAGATGATTAGTCCGACAAAATATAACTAATCAAGAACAATATATAGGTACGTATCTTAATTTATAGAAGATGACAATGTTTAAAAACTCCATGCAACCCAGTCTTGGCAAAGATTACATAAACAAAAACTCGCAAAACTAACTAATTCACCAAAGTCCAAAAATAACATTTCATCAAAAGTTTAGGAAATATAATACTACTTTTACCAAAATCATTAAGAGAGATCTCTAAGTGAATTTTCATATACTCTCACCAATGACTCTCCTCAGCTCTCTCTTAATCATCCCTACCGGCGCAACAGCAGCCCCACGAAACTGCATGACACCAAGAATATTACGTGTAAGTCAAGAAAACCCAAATGTATATCTTCCTAACATGGAGAAGATTTACCTTTGCCTTGAGATTAAGTGTGAGAAACCCATCAAGTGTGTGAGATCTAACAGAGAAAGCATCCATGTGAAGTTTGCTCAGAGTTTCCATGATGTCTGCAACTATGTAGTCTCTGTAAGAACACCTTACTTCAATCACAACTTCTGTTTCTTTCAGTTTAACTCTTAAATATTGTGTCTCATCTCTCAACATTGTGGTTTGTTCGGTTTCTCCTGAGTTTCCATCAATCTTCGTGCTGTCATCATAGTTCCCTGATGTCTCCTCAATCAGCTCAGAGTCATTAACGCTCTTTCTTTGTCTCTCCACAAAATTAACTGATCCCATACAAGATTCTAGCTCTTCAACTCTTTCCTCTAGCTCTTGCAAGTACTTGATTGTGTTGTTCAGTATCGCTTCTTTATCAACCTGCAGAGATATTCCAAAAAAAAAAAGTCTTAATTTCTGATTCAATGCATAAAATATAATATAGGGTTACTATTGTTACCTTGTTGACAGCAGGAACCATAGCTCTAAGGACACTAAACTTTTCGTTCTCTTTACTTCTGTCACAAGGATCATCTTGATTCAGACCTAACATCTTATTTGGGAACGTTCTCTTTGTGTCTAAAGAGTGCATCAAAGGCACGTCGTGCAATATCTTCCGCAGCACATTCTGTGACAACGGCTGCAAATTGCTATGTTCTTGAAGAAGGATTGAGTTCGGCTGCTCATGTTGCTTCCACCGCAAGAAACTTGACTCAGTATTTGAAGAAACAAGATCCGGTTGGAGATGATGAATATTCTTATCAGCAGCGTATTTGAGTAGTGTTGAGACAGTTCTTTTGTAATGCAAGTCTTCATCAGACATACCAAACTGAATCTGATGGTTCTCTTGGAGCACTGAGTTTGAGTTTCCATCACTGATCTTAATTTTAGTTTGATTCTTCTCATCATCGCGGTCTTGGTGAGAAGAGAAGTTGTAGGAAGAGAAATCCGGTTTAGAAGTCTCCAGCAAGCAAGATTTGATGTGTTGAAGCAGGCTAGGATCTTCTGAAATCTTAAATTGTTGTCCATGGAACATATAGAAAATAAAACAAGTGTTAAGCATGAGTTCCTTGTGAAGCAAGAAACGAAAATTATACCCTTTTTGATATTAAGATAGAGAGAGAGAGAGAGTTACCAGTTCTGTGACGCCAAGCTCTATGACACCACCCAAGTAAGGTAAACACACAACAGTCTGGAAAAGTCCCATAAAGACATAAGACACACACACACATATACATTCTATAACATCATTTCTAAGTACAAAACTTTGGTCTCTAACAAATTAGAGGAATAAAATATTATTTGCTGACAGTAAAAACCCATTTAAAGACTCATCAAAGAGAACATACCTGAATTGATGCGCTCTAAAGAAAAGAAGCCATATGAACAGTCATGAAGAGCAAGGCAGGTGGAAAGAAAATATCATATAGTCAGAGGTCAAAGATTCATGAAGAAGAAATGAAAAGAGGTTGTGGAAGAGTACTTACTCTTGCTAACAAAGAGCGAGAGAAGAGTTTGTTCTCTGCGTAATGAGCGTTGCAAAGCCATATGGTCTCACCCGTCGCCAAAGCTCTTCCTGGCAAACTAATTAAACAACCCAAAAATAAAACTCATTTTAGTTTTGGATCCTAAAGAAAGAAAAACGTAGTAATATTTTTACTTCAAATTCAAAATAAATTGAAATAGTAAAAAAAGGAATCCCAAGTACATAAACAGTATGTAGAGTCACACTTGTAATGAAAATAGAAATCCGTGAACCGTCAGGTAATCAACCCCCTTGACCAAAACAAGTACATGAAATCTATAGGTGGGATTTTGACTCCAAGCGTCTAATCCATAAAGATCCATTGTCTTAAGATGACAACGAAGGGAGATGGTTCACTTCACATTCATTCCCACTTATTAGTACTTTTACCATATGAATAGTTCGAAAAAGAGCTATATATATATATATTAATTTAATTTTTAATAGTAGATGAGAGAGAACAAACCATTGAGAAGGAGAGAAGACATAGGACATGGAGACTAAATAGTACCACTCTTCATCTGAGAGATCATCTGGTGACAACATCATACTTGAACTGTTACAATAATGTTCCTCATCATCACCATGATCATCAACATCATCAGCAGTATTAATAGTAGTATTACTATCTCCTTCCAGCATACACAGATAAAGTTTCCTAAGTTGGTTGCTTCTCTGCAAGGCATATTTATAATTAGCAGCTTCGTATCCCTTCTTCCTCTTCTTTATATCACCATTGTAACATCCTTCTCCCCACTCCAAAACCCTAAATTTAGTAATTTAGTACTCAAATATAACAAATATATATATATATATATATATATATATTTAAACAATATAAATATATATACACCTTTTAACACATGATTTATCATAAGAAAAGGGCAATGCAAAGATAAGATGAAGATCTTTTTTTTTTTTTTGTATATGACCACAAAGTAACTTATTTTGGGTTATAATAAAAAGATCAAAACCAAAATAACTTAATTTGTTAGATTATACTAACCCGGATTCAGTAGGTGAAGAGGACCAGAAGATCGCGTAGCTCCATTGAACACTTCTTAGAGCAACAGCAAGTTGTTTTCTTAATAAGCTGTTTTTTCTTTTACTTGTTCCTCTTGTTGCTTCCACAGCACCAGCCATTGTCAAAGAGAACTGAGTTTATCACTCCAGAACCTAAGAAATACAGGTTAATAAAAGGAGACAACCAAAAGGCAAAAGTTATTGAACAATTTATCATTTTACCCCCAAAATAAAGTTAGGTATTGAAGCTTTTATCTTCTTCTTTCTCTTTATTGCTTTCTCTTTCTCAGCTTGGTCGTGAAGGAAAGAGACTCAAGAGAGTACTGTCTTTAAAGTAGAGTACTGTGTCTGAAATCTGAATGATGGGAGTGAGAGAAAGAGAGAGAGGTTGACTTGCGGTCATGATCTTGGTTTTTGAGGCGACACTCATCTTTATACAATACATATGATAATCGTGTTGGATTCCATTTGGTGAAACCCAAGGTAAATATTCTCTAAATAAAGTGATGCTGAAAAAATGCAAAATGAAAGATTCAGTACATATATAGTGTTTTTTCTTTTCTTTTCTTTTCTTTTATCAGTGCTACATATTCGTCAAAACTTGGTTATTAATGTGGTATGCTATTCTTATTACGAATATGAATACAATAAAACATATATAAATTTTGACCCAAAAAATAAAAATAAAAAAATAAAACATATATAAATTAATATACAGTTAACCAATAAATGTTGTAGATACTGATTTTACCAGTATTGAATCGGATCAGTGTAAAAATAATAATATTTGGGTAAAACGTACCACATCTTCACCAAGTTTGGGTCCACTACTGTTTTTAAGGAACGGTACCAAATTAAGATTTATTTTGCACCACTCTCAAAACAATGAAAGGTAATGAAGTGAGAATGAGAGAGACCATTAATATGGTAGCAATTATTTTGTTCATTTCATATCTCATGAATGCTCGCCTGTTAGATCTGAAGAATTAAGCACTAGAGCCATGATTATGTCTACATATAGCCAATGAATAATAGATTCCTACGATGCAGGATAGAAGAGTACAATACTGGAAAAATAGATGATTCCTTGAATCGGTGAAGAGACCACATAGCAGACAAGTAGGTTCAACGTCATTTTCCCGATATTTCACTCAATCATGACTGGGATCGTGATTGAGTATGAATAACCATGTAGAAGCCAAGCCAAGATACGTTCCACACCATATAAATGCCAAAAGTCTAGAGGTTTTAACACACGTGTAAAATACCAGATTGCTCTTGGACTAAATGGGGAGTATACCTTCTTACTAATTAACCTGATGAGAGTGTAGTTTCCATCACATAGCTGGATTGATGATGTGAAGATAAGAAGCTGAAGTTAATGCTATGATCTTGCAGGTGGCAAGCACCAATTCAAAATGAGAGACACTCATTTATAAATGCCAGTAAAGAGACAACCAAATCAACAGGACCAAATGGTCCTAGAAAAATAAATGGATCAAAAGATCCCACCAGAAATAAATCTCGTCACCTCTTCTTAGTTTTATGTCGAGGAATTTGCATAGTTTCTTCTAATATTCAGTGACCAAAATGAACGTCTAGAGAGGTATTTTCGTATAACCCAAGCAACACAAAGCTATGTTTGTCTCTTTGCTATGATATATTACTACCATCATAATACCATAATATATTTTCTAGATTTTTTTTAAAATGATGATTTACGTTGTATTATGGTATTGTTAATCATTTCATTTAAGTCCAGGGACGGGAATGTACTGATTTTGGCCTAAAACTATTAAAATATATAAGGTAATAAATACGCAATCTCAGGGTTTTTGTCTGTGTTAATAATACAAGTCAGGGTATTATAATCTTGTTATGTGGAAATGGAACATACGTTAACCTCAAAAAGATGGAACCTCATCGTTTGTTTCTCATCAGTCATCAATGTAAATAATTACTTTTTAATTACTCGATCTCAAATATATGACAAACAGAATGTACTTATATGTAGTTGCAAGAAAATGGAATATACTATCTGGATAATAATGATTCCAGTTTCTATGATAGATATAAATGCGCATTTTATCCGAATAATTCCATAGTTAGATACTACTAAGTACTGAGACTTCGAATTAAAAATGTAGAAACAAATATACAGAACAGTGTAAGTTTATGGCCACCTTAAATAACGATCCATTATTAGTACATCTAGTGTTATTTATTTATTTATATCTTCAAGGTCCTATTATATTTTTTGAACTATTCAAGGTGTACTCTTTTGGAAGTCGGTAAAGCAACAAAAAATAAAAGCAATGAAGAGCAGAATATAAAGAGAAAGCTGAAATGAAGGAAATAAACTCGTGAAAATAAAATTATTGATCCATCTCTCTCCACGAATCCCACATTAATTAGCAGTAACGCACCACTTTGTGGTTGCATGCATATTTATTTCCATAACGACAAAACTTTGTGTTTAATTCTATAAATTATCTCTTTCGAACATAACATAACCACTTACAACCACATATATTCTTTTGTATTTAAAAGCTACTAGCTATTTAAATAGGTGCTTAGAGTTTAGACTTTCATAGTATAGATTTTTTTTTAAATGGTCTGAGAGTCTACATATTTTTCTGACAAACAAAAACCATAGTCTACTACAGTCTAGTGTCTACAACTATATATACCGGTCGGATCCTTCATCAAATTGCATTCACGGAAAGCGACAAAAGGAGAAAGGTAAAAGAAATAAAACAAAGCAAAAGCTTAGTAACGAGCTTAAAGACTCACATTGATTTTGTTAAAAATGCAGCAAGCATTGATGACAGACACGACACACAACTGACATACAATACTTGTTTTTGCACTATTTTTTTCCACGACAATGCACGTCTTCTCTTCAGAGATAATAAGATACTTTTTTTCATCGTTTATATAAATTCTTACTCTTTAGTAAAAAAAATGAAAATACATATACACTCGTGCAAGTACAGTCAAACCATTTAAAATACAGCATATAATAAAACTGTTGATAAAAATTGGTCCATAGTTACACCATAATAATATATACATGGGATAAAGAAAAACTCAACTAACGCGTGTTGGTCTAATGGTGATGAAACTCCGGCTGGAATGCCCGCCCTAGATGCGATTTGCGTTGGCCACCAGAAAATTTACATGCGGATTTGTTTTGGCACCCGAGACTGAAGACCGCTATCCGGCTATGACCCACCTTCGAATGTGCGTCCGCACTGCTAAAGGGTTCGATCTTTAGTCTGAACCATTACGGTGGGCCATGACACTCGGTTATAAAAAAAAAAAAACTCAAAAATCAAAATAATGGAGACGGGCGTACGAGTCCATTAGGGCTTTTTTTTAATACAGAGAGATGACTTAATGGGCCCAACAGAAGTTACTTTCTAAAAAGCCCATTGATAAACATGACAGGCGCGAGAGTTGTCAACTTTGGCCGACATACCGCCACGTGTGTAATAAAAAAGACAAAAACTCTTGTAACGGACGGATCTGAGTGAATCCCCCAAAATCTTTTGTTTTTGTGTTTCAAAAAATTGATTTGATCGAATGGTTTCTAGGATCCATGAAAAAGCTATTGACACACTTTCACATGGGTTTTGATTTTCCCCGTGTCTTCTCGTCTTTTCAGGCTAAATCTGAATTTTAGGATATATACAGAACATAAGAGAGACAAGATTTTGTAGTAAATGGCGATTAGTTCGATTCATACTGTATTATTCCCAGTGAGCGTGAAGCTCGTAGCTCCGGCAGCTAGAGTATCTGTTCAAAGATCGTTACCGTTTAGTGTTCGAGAGTGGCGTCGTGGTGTGTCTTCAATGTCTGGTGATAAGTCTTTGGTTTTTGCCAAGGCGAAACAGAGAGAAGATAGTGTTGAGAATCATCCAATTGCTGAAGATTCCATTGATCAGCTCGTAAGTGTGACAACAACAAAACACTTTCTATTAAAGTTCACTCGCTGTTTCTGATGGATTTTGCATTTCATTTGCTAGGTTGATGAAGAAGAAGAAGAAGAATCTCTGCATTTTGATGAGCGTGATTTTGCTGGCACAGCGTGTGTTCCTGTCTATGTTATGCTACCAGTAAGTTCTTTTTTTTTTATTATTATTTTTGATGTGTGTTGTTTGGTTGAGTAAGTCCAGTGTTGAATGAATGAATGATGATGTAGTTGGGAGTGATTGATATGAACTCAGAAGTGGTTGAACCGGAAGTGCTTTTGGATCATTTAAGAACTCTAAAGTCAGTTAACGTTGATGGTGTTATGGTTGATTGCTGGTGGGGTATCGTGGAAGCTCATACACCTCAGGTATATAACTGGAGTGGCTACAAGAAACTCTTTAACATGATACGCCAGCTTGGACTTAAGATACAGGTAATTGAGATGTGGTATGTGGTTTTTGAGAGATAAACTGCTTTTGTTAACATGATGTTTCTTGACTTGTTCAGGTTGTTATGTCGTTCCACGAATGTGGAGGCAATGTTGGAGATGATGTGCATATTCAACTCCCTGAGTGGGTCAGAGAGATTGGTCAAACCAATCCTGACATTTACTTCACTGACAGGGCAGGCATGCGTAACTCTGAGTGTCTTACTTGGGGAATTGACAAGCAACGTGTTTTGAGAGGAAGGACTGCTCTCGAGGTAAAGAATCTGTAGCAAGTTAGGAAGCATGTTTTATAGTTTAAAGAGGGAGAAGATCACTTTTTAATGAGGAATCCTTGTTAATAATATTGTTGTAGGTTTACTTTGATTACATGAGAAGCTTTCGTGTGGAGTTTGATGAGTTTTTTGAGGAGAAAATCATCACTGAGATTGAAGTTGGACTAGGTCCATGTGGGGAGCTCAGGTATCCTTCATACCCTGCTCAACATGGCTGGAAATATCCTGGTATTGGTGAATTCCAGGTACTCCTTTTCTTAAAATAAAACCATATTCAAATTCTACATTCTATATTCAGATCACTTTAGTTTATTCACTGTTTGGGCAGTGTTATGATAAGTATTTGATGAGGAGCTTAAAGGAGGCTGCAGAGGTAAGAGGGCACAGCTTTTGGGGCAGAGGACCTGACAACACTGAGTCTTATAACTCAACACCACACGGAACTGGTTTCTTTCGCGATGGAGGTGACTATGACAGCTACTACGGCAGATTCTTTCTTAACTGGTACTCGAGAGTTCTCATTGACCATGGTGATCGTGTTCTCTCTATGGCTAACTTGGCTTTCGAAGGAATCTGCATCGCTGCAAAGGTAGAAACAAAAACAAACCTCTATTGATAAAACATGTCACCATGCATATGTTTTTTTTTCTTGAATAAAATTGTTTTGCTGGAGAGTAGCTCTCAGGTATACACTGGTGGTATAAGACAGCTAGTCATGCTGCTGAGCTCACTGCTGGATTCTACAACCCTTCAAACCGTGATGGATACGGTCCAATAGCAGCAATGCTGAAGAAACATGACGCTGCTCTCAACTTCACATGCGTGGAGTTACGAACACTTGCCCAACATGAGGATTTTCCAGAGGCGCTGGCTGACCCAGAAGGTTTAGTTTGGCAGGTAAAAACAACTTTGACAGTAGTGATTGTGGCTCAAACTGGTAAGTAACCCATTTTTGTTTATCATTTGCAGGTGCTGAATGCTGCTTGGGATGCGAATATACCAGTTGCTAGTGAGAATGCTCTTCCTTGCTATGACAGAGAAGGTTACAACAAGATTCTTGAAAACGCAAAGCCACTCAACGACCCTGATGGTCGGCACCTATCGTGTTTCACTTACTTAAGGCTCAACACAACTCTGCTGGAGTCTGAAAACTTTGTAGAGTTTGAGAGATTCGTGAAAAGAATGCATGGTATAGTAGCTTTGGTTTTTTTTTATATTCTCTCACTCACTCCTAAAGGTTTCTTTATTTTCTTAGTAACGTTGTTGAGGAGTTACTGTGACTTGGTGCAGGTGAAGCTGTTTCGGATCTTGGTTTGCTTCCAAGGACCACCCAAGAGACCAAACTCGAGTGAATAAGTATAGAAAGAGAGAGTGAAGCAGCTGGATGGAGTAAAAAAAATTAAGTTTGTAGTAGTTGTATCCAAAAATAAGAGAGCTTGTGTAAAATGAATTATTGTAATACTAAATGTTATTATGTCCACTGAGATTCTGCTAAAAAAAATACTAGAAAGCAACAGAAGAGAGGCTAATGCACAAAAGGGGCTGCAACATCTTCACATCTCATCTCATCTCAATCTACTTTTGCCTCTATGATTCTATAATAGTATAATGTACATGTAGAGATAAGCTATAACAAGATTCTATGTTAATTAACCAGACAATAAAGCTTGAGATTCCTCTTTCTCGAAGATACAGAGGAAAAGAAAATCAAACCGGGAGTTATTTAAATTCAATTCTGGGACGAGTTGGGTGGAAACGACGCCGTATCATTGTAAAAACTGTCGTAACGTTATATTTAACAACTCAAAAGTGGAATTTCAGATGTATTTTTTGTTAACGCGGAATCCTCTTTCTCTCATTTTTCAAAAAATTGAATGGCCGCCCGAGATACGGAATGGGACTCAGACGGAGAAGTGGAGAAGTTGGAGACAGATGTGAGGGAGATTTGCAATAAGATTTTCGAGTACAGGCGTTTAACAACCCTACCGGAGGATCATCTCAGGAACACACCCAACATCGATTCCGGGTCGGATCCTCTTCCATCGTCGGAACGCCTCACTATCTCTATCTCAGCAGGTTCTTTCTTCTCTCTCTACAGCTATCTTTGTGGTTGTTGGTTAAGTTCCGAGTCTGATTCTATTGATTCATGTGTTATTATGACTGTTTGTTGCAAAGAATAATTAGTTAGTCTTTTTTTGCAGAGGTAAATGTGAGTGAGAGTTGTGATTTGATTTGTTTTATAAATTTTGTATCATTTGAGTCATCAGTTTGTATCATTTGTTTTACAAGAACAACTTGATGATTGAGCCACCAAATACTATTGCCTTTAACCTCTGTTATCTTTTATGATATATATCTAGCAATCTGCCATGTTTTTTTTTTTTTTTTTTTTTTTTTAATGCTGCAGAAAAAGCAGAAATACCT